AATCCATGCTATGCATGTCCTCTGTCATCACTATGGGTCATTCCCCTCAGAGAAATTCTATCACTTTGTTATTATTCAACAGGAACAGTGCAGTACTACATGTGTCCACCAACCACAGCTGCTGTGCTTTACTTTGGCATTTTACCTAAACTCATATATTAGCCATTAAAGACAAGACTTTTTATTACCGTTTTGACTGACATAGATGACATGATTAGTTATCAAAACTAGGTTTACAATTATGTTCAAACTTAAGGCTTTAAGATGACACAAGCATATATACCAATAAACATGTGGTTGACTTTCCTATCAATGTAAATATAATTGCTTGTATTTAAGCAAATATTGCATCGCAATTATAAAAATACAACACTAATGCAATAAGGTAAGGCAAGATAAAAATGAGCAAATCATAATTGACTATATGATGCATAACTGCCGATATATTGGCCGTCTTAAAGTCTCCTACAGTGAGTGTTCTGCATTTTCAAGAAATTAAACAACACCCTTATCTACATTAGAAATGCACCTGTTATTGGCTTTTTAAGACTTTTTTCCTCAGAACTAGAGGAAGCTCACGTAACGTTAATGAATACAAAACAATAGTGCTTCCTTTACAACAGTGTATCCTGTAAAATCATGTTTGTTTGTTTTTTAATGACTCACTAGAAGCATATGAAGATCATGTTTGACCAGACATGGTCTTCTTTGTTATGATCAGACATTGGAACTCACAAATCTGACACTGACAGGTAGAGTTCAGAAAGGTCAGTGGTTTGCCATCATGTCAACTTGCATAACAGCAGCTCAACAGTCTTTTGGGAGGCTTCAGTGGCAGGTGTGGGCTCACACTGAGGCACTTCCTACTGTATGTCAGCATCATCAATCAGATGACCGGACTTTCACAGTTGTCAGTAAATGTCTCACATTTCAAGCAAAGGGTTAGCTCAGAGATGGGCCCACTGAAAACTTTCCATTAGCAGTGGAAAGAAACATTACAGACAAAATGTGGGGTCTTGTAACAAGTGTCTATCGGTAGAGTGAGTTGAATAGTTTGGGGGTGTCAGATATGATAAAAAAACTGCTGAACAGCTAAACAGTTCCACTAAAAACATTTAAATGATCTGTGAGTCATATTCTAGACCAATTTCTCATGCAACTATTATCTATTAACTATTATCTGCACTTCATGTTGGAGAGGTTTGACCCCATTAGGCTCTGACAAACTCTAGGCGTTGTTGGACTCCATCCACTGTTCATTAAATCACCATAAAATGTCACACAAAAGACAGCAAATCCCAAACAATCCCTCCTGGATGTGTGTGAAGACTTTCAGCTGTGTCCTCTATTGTAGTTTTTTTTTTTCTTCTCAAAAACCAGCTGTGGTTCAAAACCACAGCTGGTAAATGGTTTTTTTTGTCTTTGATATATGGATCATATACTTCAGAAACAAATAAATGTCTAAAGATTATGAGGATGTTCAAAATGGTAATGTACTTATTTCTAAAAAAATAAAAATAATACTATATGCCACTACATCATCAAATCAACACCATTTTACATTTGTTGGTGTTTTTTTTTAATAGGAAAATGCTCAAACTGATTTGACATACATACCAGGCAATCTAAAGTGTTGTTGACTTAGCCCACAGTAAGCAAGTTTAGGGGTGAATATTTACATTTCCACTCGGAATTAGCTAAAAGTTATCCACACTTTTAAAAGACAGCTATTTGCTTAAATAGTTGTCCCAAAATGATGTAAAACATTTAGGGAAAAATATCTGAAAGTAAACCAAATGCATACAATAGAAACATACCTAAATGCTAGTGTAAAAGATATAAATAACAATATTTATATTAGCCAAAACTGATGTCTTTGTGGTGGTGTGGTCCAAGCTGGGCTTGTGTAAAACCTTTTTTACAAATCAATCATTGAATTTAACTGTCCAATGATTGAGTCAATGGCTAAAGAGTAAGCAGCAAATATAAAAAAGAACTTAATTTCTCTCTCAGGGCATGTTGTGTTTTTGTTGTCATTAGAAAGGTTACGGATCAGACAGTATACCTTCACACCCTCTCTGTTCGTTAACACGTCGTGCACTTGCCCCACCTGTGCTTCCTCATCCATCGTGCCCTTCACTGACTTCCTCATAAGTATTTCCCCAGTGGATTGCACAGTTTCCTTGCTGCCTACCAAATGAAGACTCCTCCTTCACTTTTGCCTTCAACACATCCATTCCCCACCTGGGACCCTTTTTTACTTTTTCACTATTTTACTGCATTCTGTTTCCTGGATAGAACATTTTATTGAGGAACACCCTCTGAATAAATAAAGAGGGTTCAAACCTTTGTCTTTTCCAGTAACCTTAAGCCCACTTAGACACATTGAAGGGACACTCCCTGTTTCATGCTTAAACAAGCCATGTTTCAATACCTACGTAAACACGTGAATCAGAGATTAAACATTTTTAAGAGCTGCTTTTGTTTTGGTCCTGTGAAATTATGCTGTAATCTATAATCAAATTGTAGCAATCTTCTATTAGTCTTCTATAAGACCGCATCCATGGTTTTGGATATCAAATCCAAAACCTTTACAGAGCCACTGCCATACTTACTTTACTAAAATTCAGTGCTGACCGCAATGTGATACTTTTTCTATTTTTATTCAACATCCATTTTGTATGGCTATGGATCATCTGTCATTTTCTCATGTGATCTAGGTCAAGGATTACAATGTGAAAGTATCCTATTGCATACACAACTAAAAAGTAAAATCATCTACACCTACATAGAATAAATGATTAAAAGGGCCAATTTAAAACTTAATAACCATACTGGGATAGTGTGACTGGAATTTGGTGAAATATGACCCCCAGAAATAAAAACAATACACTAACTTAGCAATAACGATGTCGTAGCCCACCCTTAATATTTCTGTAGTCCAGGTGGTCTTACACAAGTAACAGTCGCATATTCACTATGTGCTGCTGCTTACACTACTAACTTGTAAGAAGCTGGTGCCTCATCATCAATGTGTCTTTAACGATATGCATTTCCTACATCCAGTGGAAACCTCACTGAACCACACTGTCTCGTGAAAAATGTTTTGAGAGTATTAGCTTTATAAATACACACACACACATATATATATATATAAACACACACACGTGTGTCAAGATGATAGAAATGTCAATAGATGGAGTTATTCTAAGCCTTTGATTCTGATTAATATAAATGGCAAGAAAGTGGCGCAATAGTAGAATTCCTTCCTGCCATGCAGAACATTCTGGACTTTAGATTAAATACCTAGAATACCTAGTCCCCGTTACTAAGTTAGGTTGCTCTAGGAAAGATATGTTTATCCTGGTCTAAAAAAGTTCCATTATGTCTGTCACTGTCTACTATAGTTTTTATAGCATTTTTGTTTCATACTACTTTCATATATTAACTTTTTTGTGAATCTAGGAGGACTGTCTACAATGTGACACAAATATAAACCATACCTTCCGAGTTCCTCTCCAATGTCATAAAAATCCTCCACATTCTGTTGCTTGAACAAAGCCATCCCAGTAGTCCTCATTGATGTGCTTAAACTCCTTTAGCAGCACCACTTGAGTCACCCCTGTCCAGAAACTTCACTGTTCTCCTGTACATGGAAAAAGAACACTCTTGGTGATTTCTGACTGGAGTGATTAAGATGCTCACTACTTGTTGCAGCTTGCTGTGAAGCATTCCATCTGGGAGCGCTATACTTTCACCTTCCGGTTTTGAGAAAAAAAGCCTTGTGCAAAAGGTTTACAATCAGATTTTAACAATGCAATTAATCTGCAAGTAACAGTTACTATTAGCTCTTCCTTTTATATATGGAACCACAGGTAACCCTGTGTTCTAACTGGGGTTTTATAGTGTTTTGTTGTCTTGAGTATTAAGATGTTTTAAGCATAAAAAGCAGAAGAGTATTCAGTAATTCATAGAATTACACCACTTGCAACAAAAACAATGTAAAACCACAGTGTTCACAAGGTGACCACTGACTAACTTCCTGTTTGCTCAGTTAAAATGTCACTCTGTGTCTTTCGAAACTAAAGCTGCAGCTTCCTCTCACCTTGTTGTATCAGATGATGATGGGCTGCCGCTAAACTTGCATATGTTCCCTGGTCTACAGCTGCTTTGCTGGGCTCCAGTCAGACATCTGCTCCTTTACCATCTCTGTTGTTTTCTGTCACTCACTGCAGCAACATCAGGGCTTTTCTCACTCAGCACAAGTCCCTCCCCCTGACAGCTCCACTCAAGTATGACAGGGGCAGGCTATGAATAAAGATGACTGTGCCACAGGAAACGGAGGATTCTTGAGGCAATCTGGTTTAGTTCATAGTCACCTAAAGGCAATGTTAAAAGTCTACAAGTCCCTGCTAAAATGCCAGGGTTTAATTGTGAAACAAATGACCCACAGGTGATTGATATTACATCTTTTAGATTCATATTAAAGAAAAGTACACCTTTGGTGTATGATGGGGACACTAATAAATTATTGATTTAGTATTGTGGTTACATAATTAACTCACAGTATTTGTAGTAGTTATTAAAATAAGTAATTTGCTGTTAAGTACTTTGTTATTTGGGGGAGAAGTCTGTCAACAACAGCTTTGCAATCCAGCAACTCGTGTAAATCCCAAATCAGTCAGATTATTGTTACAGCACCATTTGCGGCCACACTACAGACTTTGTGTTTTGAAGTAAGAACTAGTCTTAGTCCTAGTCGTTCGTGGTTAATATTAAAACTTCAAAAATAATGATGTTGGAATTCTACTATTATAAAATTTCAATCTTCAGCCTCAGCAGACATTTTGTAGTTTTGAGTTACTATAGACATGGATTCTTATTTTCATTCCCTGAAACCTGACTTGTACCCAGCTGTACTTATACACGAGTAAAAACGAACCCTTAGAATTAATCAAGATATTTTAAGGCACTGTTTCACGTAACTTGTGGGAACAAAGAGTCTTCAGACTTTACTTCCTGACAGAGATTAAGGCATGTCATGTCACAACATGAGCCTTAAAAAAAAGAGAAAAGTATTTGTATAAAATTTGTTTAGATTTACTCAGCTCCAACATGAGCCTTGTGATTAAATGGACATTTGAATGGATTTTTTTTTTTTGGCTATTAAAACTAGGAACCTGTTTTAAAAAATATATACTTTATAATATTGTCTTCAGATGTTTTGATAATTAAAAAGTAGCTGCACATTTATACCATATTTGTGTTGTATTGTGTGCAATGTTGTGCTAAAAACTGTATTTGACTTCAAGCATATATATATATATATATATATATATTCTAAATATATATAGAATAATCTTTTTTTTTTAATCTAATTCAGCTAGCAATACCTACACTTTAGTTTTTCCAGAGACCTGCTCCCAAGGGGATTAAATTACATTCCCAACCTAACCTTTTGATACCTACAACATATATCAAGGAAAGACTGCAGGCAAAATAGTTCAGCTGACATTATTTATGCATCAAATGTTGTAAATAATCAACAGCAATGACAGCAAGGTAGAATGAAGTGAAACAGGTTATAAAAAGTTGTAAACAAAGCCTTACAAAGCACAAATACAACATGACAGAAAATGGAACAGAAACACTGACAACAATAACAGGACTAACCAAATTTAGGTAGGTTTCTTCCCATTGTTTACTTTCAGTCTTGTAAAATAGAGTAGAAAACTACACCGTGTAAACGTTCACGGTTTGAACCTCAACAAGTGAAACAGAATTGTCTCCATGTGACGGTTGCAGCCATTTAACTCTGAACTGAAATCTTGGAAAAATACTAGTACCTATGGATGACTATTAATGTGTGCAACAGTGCCACACTGAGGACAATTTATGCATAAGAATTTCCCAGCATCATACCTGTGGTTTTAGTCCATGTGTGAGTCGGAGAAACGTTAAATAAACATGACGCCATTAAAACAACCGCACAAATCCAACCTTAAAACATTCTGATAAGAAGAAAAAAAAAAAAAAAAGGAAGAAGCAATATGTGGGGCAAGGGATGGAATCGGCAGGGATTAAGAATGAGTTTTTAAAGGGTCGTGTTTCCATTTATTAATAATTAAAACATGTATAAAATATTTTGAGCCATTTAATGTTTTTGCTTTAAGTAAGTTGGGGTGCAAATCAGGTTGGGCTCAGTTTAAGACTACATTTTAAAACAAGAGGTACAATAAGAATAGATCATCAAATATTCAGCCAAATACAACATATTTTATGGCAGACAGGTCAAAATTGGGTCAGCAGCAATAGTTTTGTTTTTTCCTTTGTGAGGAAAAGAAAAGTGTAAAGTTTCACAGATACTTAAGTAACACTGATCTCAGTCATAGAGCAGAGCTGCAGCTACTGATTATTTCATTACTAAATAATCACATGTATTTTCTTTGGTTTTAAGTTTAACTTTTAAATGACCAAAAGATGGGTTTTAAGGTTTTAGAACTTTATTAACTGGCCGATTAATGAATGACTTATTGGTTACTAATTGATCAACAGCTTTTTGTGATTGTCAATCGTTTTTTAGATCTGGGTTTTTAATGTTTAAAAACCAAGCTCTGATATAATCTGATTTCTTTTTGGACAACATTCTAACATATTAAAACATCATTGTGTTTGAAATGTACAATCAACAATTGACTTTTTTTTATATAACTGTGTGTCTTACAGCTGAAATGACAAGACTTTTAAGAATCTGCCTGATTAATCAACTATTAACAAAGTTGGTTATCAGATGTTTCAGAACTAAAATTCTGATTCTTAAGCTGTTTGGACTGCAGACAACCTGGAAGGATGACCACAGCTACACCTAAAATATTCTTTGATAGTAAAACCTGACTTTCAGCAAATGTAGTTCATTATCGGGCAAAGGCTTCTGTCGTATTAAATAATATTTACAGAAGTCCAACAAAGCCAGAAGATAATTGACTAGAGAAAAAGGACAAACATAAAACCAAACCAGTGACAGTACACAGCCAGGGGTTTAAAAATACTGATTCTGCCACTTTTTGGCAAATGACATAGAGAGGACCTAAAACACCCACTAGTCTTTGAACACATACAGCAAACTTACAGCATTTTTAAAATGGCAGAAATACTGATAGCAAGGACGTATGGCCTGGTAAAGTTTGGTCCTTTGATATGCAGTACGTTTTTATGCTCCAGCAATTATGCAGAGACCAAATTCAGCAGTTTGGCTTTTTTTTTTCTTTAACCAAAAAAGATCCCCTTTGACGCTGTTGTCGGACGGAGTTGGTTTAAAGTGATCTCTTTGTCGTCACACTTTGGCCACGTGGCAATGAAAAGTGCTTTTATTTTTAATGTCAGTTGTCCTCGTCGTCGTCACTGACAAAGCTGCGTCCGTCCTGACTTGACTCTCTTTCCCGCAGGAAGGTTTGTCTGATGGCCTCCAGCTCAGTCAACTCCAGGCGAACTTTCTCCAGGTGGAAGGAACGACGGTTCTGGATTTGCCTCATGGGGAATGGGTTCATGTCAATGAACGCAATGCTCATCAGCTTTCTGGAAAGAAAATGCACCAAATTAAACAATCATAGGTGAGTGATGCAAGTATTTTTGCTTCAATAGATTATTATTAACCTTTAACTTATTTATTTAATAAATGATTTGTTTGTTATATAAATAATAATACATATATATAAACATACCATTTATTAAATAAAGGTGACAGTAGAAAAAATACTTAATATTATTGTCTTTTCAAAGATATAATTATATAAAATTGTGTTTTTTTTAATACAATAGCTGTGAATGTTTCGAATGTAGGGGGCTTGAAAAGTTTACTTCTCCAACAGGGGGCACTGCACAAAGGTTTGGGAGCCAATAAGTAAGAGTAACATTACTCTTTCTGGTCACATTGTTGTACTTGTTATTATTTGTACTTATTTTTTCATATTTATGAAAGAGAATCACGTCTCTACAGTGTCTTTACCTTGAATCCAAGATGGTTCTTGTGAAGTATCTAAGATATTTGAAGATGGTGGTGGAATCCTGCAACTTCAAAAACTCCTCCTCCTTGTACTTAAAGAGAGCTAGTGCACAGCGAAATATTATCTGGAAAAGAAAAATATAAGATAATCAGAATAAACCTTAACTGTCCCCATCTGTTTGTTATGAATTTAAAATAATACACCTGGTAATTCATGTAATAAATATTTTATTCTCCCGTGTTTAGAATGAATACTGACTTTTTTACTGTGTAGCTACAACTTTCATTTCTGTAAGTATTTTGTTCCTTTAAAAAGAAGTTCTGTGCATTGGTCACAAATAACGCAACATATACGCATGTGACCGCCGAACTATTCGTCGTCCTGTCCAGTGGGGTTTGGTCGCCACCTAGTGGCCAAAATAATCTAAGCGCAAATACATTAAAGTGTTATATCTCCTAACTGCAAACACTGCACACTAATGCTGAACGTACGTCTATGTAGGGGTAAAAATGTGTTCATCTTTACACTATCCATGTTTTGCATGACTAAGAGAGATTCATGAACCTGGATATTTGAAAATGTAAAATTGTTTATTATGTTAGCCTTTTCTATAATAACTATGTACAAATTACATACGTTCTTACCCTTGAGCAAAGGAGATAGTTGAAAATAAGGGTTGTCCTAGTTTTTGAAAATGAAACCTACTTTTGTCCCTTCATTTCAAATATTCATAAACATGCCCTGACATGGTCCAGTTAAACTGTTTCACTTTCTCTTCCACCACATACCTTTGGACCTTCAAAGAGAAAGGCGTCCCAGATCTTGAAGAGGATGTCGCTCACCACGCTGTCCACAAACACCACCAGGAACCAGTTAAAGGTGATGAGGGAGAAATCCACCTTATGCTGTTCAAAATGGGCATGGAGCCGCGGCAGCTTCTCTATCATCAGGTCTTTGAACACGCGCTGATCAACCTGCAGACAGGTAACAAGACTTATAGTATGGGACAAACTTAAGTCAAGTGGGGACAGTTTTCTTGTCTTATATGTCTCTCCCTTCCTCATGCAAACACAAGCAGGAGTTCCTTCTTGGTTTGTAACATTTTTATTGACTGAAGTCTTTTCTTTCTCAAGCCATTAAATATTAGGGTCTAATATTAAATCTACCCAGTTCTCACTGAAAAATTCATATAAATATTGTAAAGAAAAAAAGATTAGTGAATATTCCCCACTGTTAGATAATTTAGAAAAACAAAAAAA